TGAAAATCCCTCAGTTCTCTTACTTGAAACAATGGCAAAGATAGCTTTTTTTCCCCCACTGTCTAGTAACTTCTTCATTTCTTGAGTGACTTTATAAGGATTGTAGGTTTGTGCACTAAACCACTTGGATTTAAATCTCCAAAATGATTCACTGGAAAGGTATAAACCTTTTGAAGGACACATTTTCTTTGGAGCAAAAAGGTAATATAACAGTAATTTAAAGACCCAGAGAAATAAGTGTCAGTGGAATAAATATCTTTTTCACCCTATCTCAAGAATACATAGCTGTAGATATTTTGAGTGTTTAACCGCAAGCTGAATGCAGCCTTGAACTTCAACTTTGGGTTATATTAATTGTAAATTCTATATACAATGTTTTCCCCATACATTCAACAGACACACAAACACATACATACACATACATAATGTTTTGATGTGCTTTGTGCCCCAGTGATATTTAAGCTATGGCTTATTGACAGTAGAAAATGTAAAAGGCTGACAAGAAGTCAGTTGTCCCCAACATCCTCCTTGCTAGGCTGAATTTTCTTGGGGAAAAGGCAAATTTCATGAGAATAGAGTCCCAGAAGAGATTTGTTGACTTCTTTTGTTGCAGCCCCCATCTTGACTTTTTTGACCCTCTCCCGACTACTTGGGTTCTACCCTAAAGAAGACCAAGTGGCACTTTCTGTTTCTAGTTCTTAAAAAGAAAAAAACAAGAGTTCATTGTGAAAGACGGATGTGATGCTGTACCTTCAAGAAGCAAGTTTAGTCATCTAACCTCTGACAGCCAACTTTCTTTTTGTTTGAACAAAGAACCAGATAGAGAACTCTCACAAGATTCATTGTGACCAGCCTCAACATACTTTTGTCTAAAATATTCACGCTTTTATTTTTAAACAACCTCAGTCATACCCAACAGCTTTAGGTAGCTTTCAATGCCTATGCATGCTTGCAGGCCTACACATGGACACTGACTGATTGATTGATTGATTGATTGTATTTATATAGCTGCCCTTCTCACAAAAGTGACATATATCAAGCCCATCCATATATATACATATATATATAATAATTTTGTGTGATTGAAAAGTTAACGTTTCTAGTATTTAGAACACTCTTATTTTCCCTTCCAAAGTGTAACTTCTTATGGTCTCTCCGTGATCCCCCCCCCCACCTCTTTCCTTTTTGGAAGAGTCATATTTCTGCCTCTGCACTTTGGAGCCCTAAGCAAAGGCTAATGGAATGTGACCTGTTTCTCACCTTTGGGATAGTTAAAATATTAATACTGGATAAGACTAGAAACCTTTCCCAAAGTCAGCACTGACAACATCTCAGCTGGGATGTCTCTGATTAAAGAGACTGGCTGCTGCAACATCCATTTGTAACTTAAGGAAATAGAAAGGCTCCCTTCCCTAAGACACATATCCTTATTGTAGCAGGATTTAAACACACACACATATATACATACACACACAATGCCACAGTGGCCTTAAGTAATCAAACGTTTGTCATTTCTCTGGCAGCAGCTGAGCCTTGCTAATATCCTGGAACACTGAAGTAGTGAAAGTAGGATGTGGAACAATTCATCTTCAAGAAATCTTTCCTCTAGTTCTTAAAATGTTCATTTGCTAGGCATGCAGTTGGAGAACTAAAATCCTCAAGAAAATCTGCCTCTAATTCCAATGCAGAATTTGTTATAAGTATGGGAAGTGGCCTCCCATTCCTGAGATGGAAACCATCAAGGCAAAATGCAAAGAAGAATTACATCATGACTGAAAGCAAATGCCGTTCTTGCTAGCCTTCTGCAATCTGATCCCTGCAGATATTTTAGATTACTTCTCCGATGATGCAAAAGTGCACAACTTTTAGAAACCACACTTGATCACTGTGTATTGCAGTGTTTCTCAGCCTCAGCAACTTGAAAATGGGTGGACTTCAACTCCCAGAATTTCCCAGCCAGCCTGAGAAATGCTGGTGTAGTGTGTCAGGGGCCACTTTCCAAAAAGTAATGGGTAGGTCCAGAACAGAAAATAACTAATTTCATTTTTTATTAAACTCCTTCACACAATTGTTCTTCAGTCACTTATGTAGTCATTCTTCCTCTCTGTCTTATTAGTTGTGCAAAGCATTCAAATCAATATTTCGCAACTGTATGTACTATGATTGAAGGACCATTTCTCAGAAATAACTTGGGAAAACTCTTCCAGAGGACAGAACCACCTGAACGCTTTGAGGAGGGTGCTCAGCTCACACCAACACACATTGTGAAATGACCCTTGGAATACAATGCCTAGCTTTTTAAATATTACAATTTGAAAACAACTCTTGAAAGTCTCTAGAGATGCACTTAGCCTTTCAGATGTCACGTAATTATTCACTACATTGTCCAGGACTAAGGGGAGTTGATCTGGAGTTCAATATAGCTCAATAGAAACTATACTCCAAAACATCTGGAAACATCCAAATTGGACACTGCTGATTTACCTTAAGTCTAGTTCTAGAAAAATTGATTGCTCTGTTCACAAGATATGAGTAATAGCTAGCTTCTTAATGCACTCCTGGTGAACAGCAGCCAATGTCTGTTTCTGCCATGCCATGCCTCGGA